AGGACAGCAACTTGTCTGTTCCCCTTCCCTCAATTCCCCAGTGCTGTTCCCATCCCCTAATTCCCCAATAAAAATCTTTAAAAAAAAAAAAATAATAATAATAAAACTTTTGGGCACCCAGGCATGAAGACCAAGTCACATATATAGGGCAATAAAAACCAAAACCAGGCTATAAGTCATCAGGCTTTATTTCAGCAATGCCTTATGCCAGAGGTAAATGGAGTGATATATTTAAGAAACTCAAAGAAACAAAAATATGTGCTCAGGATTTCTTATCTAGCCAAAATGATTTTCAAGTATAATGTCCACAACTGTTTTCAATATTCAGTAACTTAAGGAATGATGTTCCCAAGGGTCCTTCCTGAAGAATTTACTAGAGAATCAGTTTTAGATATCCTAAATGACTAGAGAGGGGAAGGTAGAGATAAGACAGCCATTTTTCCACTAAAAAGCATAAATCCCAAACTAAAAACCGCAAAGTGGATGATATGATTGACCTGTTGGACCAGCCCTAATTTGTCTACTTCTGGAATTTGTGTTATGTTAGAACAATCAAATCTTTTTTTTTTTTTAATTAGAAGAGTAATATTTAGTGACACAAAAAACTATTCATGATATGTTGAATGAAGAGCAATTATAAAACAGCATGATCTCATTTTCTAAAGAGAGTAAATGTATAAGTATAAAAACCAAAATATCAATGGCAGTTTTCTCTATAGGATAGGATTATGGTGATTTAATTTTTTCTGGGTCCTTTTCTGTATTTCCTCATCATTCCTGATAAAGGAATGAAACCATGTCATAATAAAGTCTCTCTGGTAATGAGGTCCAAATTGGATTAGAAAACATGGAATTTTATGCTGAAGTAAGTTATTATTTCTTTAACATATTCAGCAAAATCTCCAAAATAAGAATTACAATTAAAAAGAAAATAATTGCACATTTTTCTTTTGCAACATTTTCATATTTAGAAATGTGTGCCTATGAATTTGTCTTATTTGGACAGTCCAGTATTAAGATCATTTGGTTTGAAAGAAACAAAAATAAAACAACACTCAATCTCAATTAGGTTACTGATTCCACCTACATTTTAGACTGTTCAACAGAAATATGAATCAAAGGCTCTATAAAAATTTTTAAAAAGTATTTTTTTCAGTTTTGAAAATTGTAAACTATGCTTTCAATTATAACTAAAGTAACATGTAGAAAACATACCAATGAGCCAAAACCTAGGGTCCAAAAATGCTCATTTCGAACTTCCAAAACTCCATCCAAGGTAGATACCTGATCAAAAACATAGAAATAGGGTTGTTTGCATTTGACATACCCAACACAGTTCAGTCACACTATGTATGGACTTGCTCTTAGTCTAGAAATGACATGGCCAAACCCTGCATGAGGACATTCATTAGCCAAGAGAAGTCTCAGACCACTCACTCACGATACCATTTCTGCATGTTCCGTACTGAGACAAGGCCCTATTTTCCCGGTTTCTTCTCTGCACCAATGCTGCTAAAACCAGGTCTTTACACTCCCCCTTCCCCCAGTGCCACCTTGTTCAACAGTGCAAGGTTCTTTTCATTTTATCAATATGACATATATTTATATCCAATACTTGTGGTGTCAGATTTTTTTTCTTGATCATTTCTTCCTCTGAAATGAGGAAACAAATTTCCTATTAATAAATTTCTGCACAAGAAAGGATGTTACTTGGATGTGCGCCAAAATGAAATTCCAAGTCCAAATATATAGTATGTGGACCACTGGTACAGTGGCACTTGTTCCACTAGCTGAGAAAAATAGCCACCTATATTGGTAAAAGTGGCCTTTGTGATACTGACCACCAAGAGATGAAAATACTCTCAACATCCAAATAATTCAATTTTCTTATTCCTTCATCAGTTAACAGGTGGAAATTTATAACAACACAAAACCTAAACCCACAGATCAAGATGTAAGGTGGTGAAGCAATCAACATATAAAAGGGGGTCTTGACTTAATCAAAACCCTAGGTTTGAATGCAGATTCATAAAAATCACAGCATTTATATAGGTAATCGGGTGGTCTTTAGGTGATTACCGTTCATGTTTATTTTAAGAAATTTGGCTTCCAGACTGAGCAATTCCTCAAATGTTTCCACTTTTATCACTGTTATGTCTCCTAATGTATTAAGAATACAAAATCCCCTAAAATAAAATACCAGATAGGGTTGACTGAAGTATTATTTGTACCCATTTTTGCATTTTCTAGTTATAAATTAAAATGATTTTATTTACTATTCCATCTTACCTCTCTAATAAGTTTGTCCAACTGACCAATAACATGGGGTGGTGTAGTCTGGGGAAAAAATAAAATAAAATATGAATCTAGGGAGATAAAAGATTTTTGTAACAGTGGTCCTGAAATTTTTAAAAATTGGGTTTTATACCAACCTTTGCTTTGCCTGACATATGACCTGTCATGAGTTAGAGAAGAGAGGTTTCAATGGGCCCCCCTAGTGGGGCAACATCAGGAATCAGATCATGTTCATTTTTTATCTCACAGAGAAGCTGCTATCTCTAGAACCAAATAAGCTTTAAAGAACCAACCAAGCAACAAAAAATCTTTAAGAAAGTAACATTTTGTATAGGGCAAAGCACTATACAACTATTACTTTATTGTTATTACTGCTCCTGAAAATGGATACTACCCATAAGTTTAAGAAAAGGCATGAGGGAAAGACAGAAGGAAAGGCAGTTCCTTACAGACACATCCAGCCCTGGGAAACTATCTTTCGATTCAGGTGCTGGTCTATAGGTGTTCCTATTGCTTCAATAAATAATAATTTGTCATTTTTAATTTTAAGTTTGAAATTTAGAAGTCTCACTGATTCAATGACAGGAAAAAAGAAAACAATCATAATCAGATTATACAAGAGCCAAAGCACATTTAGTAGGGGAAAATATGTATCTTAAATATTTTTTAAGTAACATTGTTTTCACTTGAAACATTATTAGAGGCAAAAAATATTTATGATTTTTGTCTCATATTACAAATATAAGAAGATTTGTGCCTATTTTATGGGCATATAATTTCATCTGTTCCTAGTACACAAATTTCAGAGATTATTGTTTGGTTTCATTTCTAATATGGCCCTCCAATAGCTAAAAATTTTGCAATCTGATAGAAGACCACATACAATTTTATAATCTGATAGAAGAACACAGCTAATATTAAGCATGCACACTGAAAGGTCCTTACCTGGAGTAATACTTTCCCACTGTATACGCTCATAGGATACATGGTGCCAAATGTCATCAGAGCAATGGCTATGGCAGAGGCAGTGTCTACAGCAAAATAATTACTAAAAGGAAAAAACAATTCTCAAAATCTTAAATGTATGCCTCCCTCAGTTTCTTACAATTCAGAATCAGAATCCACCTAACATTAATTACCTAAAGCAAAACAACTGTTTCATTACAACTGGCCACTATTGGCAATGGGAGCACCTCAAAGGGAAATAAAAAGCTTTCAGAATCCTTTCTCACCTAAGTTTAGTGGAAAAATGATTAGTCATTATGTTAATTAGTGTTAAGAGAGATGAAAGAAAAAAAGTGAGTGTTTCCCCACTACGAGTTCTCAGTTAGTCTACTTGTCAACAAGAAAGATTTCATGTATATTCATTTGTTGTAATAAAGAAAAACCTTCAACTAGTAATTTCTGATACAGAGACACTAATGGACTTCATCAGTGATTCTATCAATTTTCCTGTAAAGAATAACTTTGCAATAATTACTGTTAAATTTTTTCAAAATTCCCCAGGAATTTCACAAGGTGAGATCCCCTTTTCTTTTTCAGATGAAGACACGAAGACAAGACGTGACCAAAAAGTTACATAGGTCAAAAGCAAACATGCTATAAGCTTAACCCTATCCTCCTGTCAATGCCCTTAAAAATCAGGCCCCAGGATTAAAAACACACTTGACAGTAATAAAAATACTTACTTAATCTCAATTAGCATATATGTAATACAAAGAGCAAATGCTCCAGCAAGATCAATCAAAACAAATGGATTCATTCGGGGAAGGAAGATACTGCTAAGTCCTGGAATAATTCCACACAAGCTATGAGAAAAACAAATAAAGCATTCATTAGCAGAACTCATGTAATACTGATGAAAATCTTGTAAATGACTTGTAGTATATTAGTATCATACATCTTTTTTTTTTTGATTGGGGAATTGTGTAAGGGGAACTGCCAAGTTGTTGTCCTTCAATCTTAGTTGTGGAGGGCGCAGCTAGCTCAGCTCCAAGGGAAGTTGCCATCCGGCCGCCTGTTGGCAGCTCATGGCCTCTCAGCTCAAGGTGCCGTGTTCAATCACAGTTGTGGGTGGGCATAGACCACTATCCCATGCGGGAGTCCAACCGGCAATCTTGTTGTTAGGAGCACGTGATCTCACCGGCTGAGCCATCTGTTCACCTGTTGGCAGCTCAGCAGCAGCTCAGCTCGGGCGCAGCTCACTGGCCCAAGTGGGAATCAAACCGTGACCCT